TTTCTACACATTGTGTCTGTTCTTGATGTGACCCTCAAAAAATTTCTACACATTGTGTCTGTTCTTGATGTGACACTCAGAAAATTTCCACACATTGTGTCTGTTCTTGATGTGACACTCAGAAAATATTTACACATTTGTAACATGAATTTATATAATAATGTTAAGTCCATATAGTACAGAGTAAATGTATGCATGTAAAAAGGCATAAAAAAACAAAGATGAAAGATAAAATCTATTAAATTCCAAATCAAATAAAGTAGTATTCCAGTGCACATGTCAGGTGCATATAAATGAATAGTCTTATCTTAACATATCAAAAAGTGTACAGCTGCCAAGAAGAGTATGTCATTGGATGTCAGAAAGTGTATAATGAAATAGAGCAGTATGCCAGTATGTCAAAAGATGTATAACTGAAAAGAGCAGTATGCCCATACATGTCAAAAAGTGTATGATGAAACAGAACAGTATGCCCATACATGTCAAAAAGTGTATGATGGAACAGAGCAGTATGCCCATACATGTCAAAAAGTGTATGATAGAACAGAGCAGTATGCCCATACATGTCAAAAAGTGTATGATGGAACAGAGCAGTACGCCCATACATGTCAAAAAGTGTATGATGGAACAGAGCAGTATGCCTATACATGTCAAAAAGTGTATGATGGAACAGAGCAGTATGCCCTTACATGTCAAAAAGTGTATGACGGAACAGAGCAGTACGCCCATACATGTCAAAAAGTGTATGATGGAATAGAGCAGTATGCCCATACATGTCAAAAAGTGTATGATGGAATAGAGCAGTATGCCCATACATGTCATAAAGTGTATGATGGAATAGAGCAGTATGCCCATATATGTCAATAAGTGTATGATGGAATAGAGCAGTATGCCCATACATGTCAAAAAGTGTATGATGGAATAGAGCAGTATGCCAGTATGTCAGAAAGTGTACAACTGAATAGAGCAGTATGTCAAAAAGTATACAACTGAATAGAGGATTATACTAATGCATGTCAAGAAGTATAAAACTGCAGAGATCAGTATATCAGTGGATGTCAAAAAGTGTACAACTGAATAAATAAAGATATCCTTAGCTAGAACATCCTCACATTGTACAGGGACGTATCCCAGATCAAAGAGGTGCTTACATTAGTCACCTCTTAAGGCATGCCAGTGGGTCTATTCTACATTGCTGCGCCCCACAGGAATGGAAGGTGTAGTGGATGGATACTGTATCATGACTTTAATTAGAATGCTATATAAATACTTCAGTTGATTTTCTTTTCTAGATAACTCAGCATTTTTGTGTCCATCATTTTCAAAACTGTCAATATTTGGCCATTTACTTATTTAGTTTTGTTGGGCATAAGCACTGGCATATAACAATGTTCAATTTTAACCTTTAAGAGCTGTGTATTACATTTTGACATGATTCAGTAAGACCTGTGTATTACATTTTGACATGATTCAGTAAGACCTGTGTATTACATTTGAATTTATTCAGTAAGACCTGTGTATTACATTTGACTAGATTCAGTAAGACCTGTGTATTACATTTTGACATGATTCAGTAAGACCTATGTACTACATTTGACTTGATTCAGTAAGATGTGTGTACTACATTTGACTTGATTTAATGAGACATATGATTTGATTCAATAAGAAAAATGTATTACATTTGACTTGATTTAGTAAGATCTGTGTACTACATTTGACTTCATTCAGTAAGATGTATTACATTTGACTTAATTTAGTAAAACTTATGTATTACATTTGACTTAATTCATTAAGACATATGTACTACATTTGACTTGAGTCAGTAAGACCTCTATACTATATCTAATTAGATTCAGTCAGACCTATGTATTACATTTGATTTGATTCAGTCAGATGTATTACAGTTGACTTGATTCAGTAAGACATGTATTACATTTGACTTGATTTAGTAAGACATGTATTACATTTGACTTGAGTCAGTAAGACCTATATACTACATCTAATTTGACTCAGTCAGACCTATGTATTACATTTGATTTGATTGAGTCAGATGTATTACCTTTGACTTGATTCAGAAAGACTTATGTATTACATTTTGACTTGAGTCAGTAAGACCTATATACTACATCTAATTTGACTCAGTCAGACCTATGTATTACATTTGATTTGATTGAGTCAGATGTATTACCTTTGACTTGATTCAGTAAGACTTATGTATTACATTTGACTTGAGTCAGTAAGACCTATATACTACATCTAATTTGACTCAGTCAGACCTATATACTATATTTGACTTGATTCAGTGAGACTTATGTATTACATTTGACTTATTTCAGTAAGACCAGTCTATTACATTTGACTTTTTTCAGTTATACATTTTTTACATGTATTGGGGCATGCTGCTCTGTTCAGTTGTACACTTCTGACATGCATTGTATTGCTGCTCTATTTTGTTATACACTTTATGACAGGCATTGGTATACTGATATATTCATTTGTAAACGTTTTGACATGCACTGGCATTCTGCTCTGTTCAGCTGTACACTTGATGACAGGCATAGGTATACTGCTCTATTCTGTTGTACACTTTTTGACATGTATTGGTTTAATGCTATAGTCAGTTGTACACTTTTTGACATGTATTGGCACTCTGCTCTCTTTCATTGTACACTTTCTGTCATACTTGGACATATTGCTTGTTGCAGTTTTATACTTTCTGCAATGTTAATATATGGCTATTCATTGATACACATTTGACATGTGTTGGCATATTGCTTTATTCTATTATTCACTTTTTACATGTTTTGTACTCATTTATAAATGGAACAAATAAAAGGAGAAATGTTAATATGGAAACCTTGAGATGGAGGAATCTTAAGTAACTGTCTGTGCCTTTTTATTGGTTGGCTTTTTCTTTTTTAAAAATGCCCAGAAATATGTGTATATTTTATAAAGACTTTTTCCAGACTTGTTTATTTTCTCATACAGTTCTTAAAAGCTGGGCAAAGTTGAAATCAATTATTGTGATTTGTAACTGTTATTGACTTCAATGATTAAATTGTGTTGTGTCAGAAACATATACATTTGTATATTTTTTTAATAGTTAAAGATAGAGTGACTGTTACAGTTGTCACATGGTACTAGTTGCCAAACAATAGTCTTAGTTTCAATTTTGTGTGTGGCTTTCGAAGGCAGCTATGTCAGACATTCTGTAAATACCAATTTGTTGTTTCTTTGTTGACAACAAAGTCAGTTTACAAAATCTGGAACAACAGTTTTTAAAAAGTATAGTGAAATAAAAAGTTTCCCATGTTTCATCTCTCACAGTCCCTATGCTATGTATAACTTTTTTTTATACATAAATGTCTTATATACATTTTTTTTAAATGCATGGCTGTATAAAAGAACAAACTGATGACATTCAGTTCCTTTAAAAAAAAAAATGCATACATTTTTATCTCAGCTTTGAAACTGCAGATATTGGTTGTACTTGCGTTTTTATATTTTCCTCTTCTCTTTTTCTCTCCTTGACCTTGAAATTTCTTGCTTTCATTTTTTCCTGATTTCGATCAGCTTCAATGCTAGATCTTCGACACTAACACACTGCATTGTGTCAGCAATTTAGTTTTACCAAACACTTGACATCTGACATTTTACCAAACATTTGACAACTGACATTTTACCAAACATTTGACATCTGAAATTTGTTCTCTGTGCTACGTTTCACTGACGGGCATACATATCTGACATCACCCATGTGTATACACCTGCAAGATGCTTACGCTCCTCTTCTGACATCAATATTCCCACTATGAAGTTGAAACCATATGGACAACGTTCTTTTGCATACCAGGGGCCAGCAACGTGGAACGAATTGCCCACTTCACTTAGACACAAAGACACGGTGATCTCATTCAAGAGCGTCCTAAAAACCCATATCTATTTCAACTGCAAGAACAGACATAATGACCTAATAATGTGTCCTTTTTAACGTATCCTTACCTTAAAAATTTACAGCATGTCTTTGTTTCTAATTTTGTGGCGTTTGTTTTTAATTTTTGTAATCATTTCAATATTTATGTTTTTTTATTCTTTTTAAGCGTTGTCAAATGTTGTAAAGCGCTTAGAGCTTCTAAAGATTATGCGCTATATAAAGTCCTCGTTTTTATTATTATTATTATTATTATTATTATTATTATTATTATTATTATTATTATTATTATTATTATTATTATTATTATTATTATTATACCAAACATTTGACATTATTATTTAACAGATGTCAGCTTGGTGTTTTGGAGTTTCAGTATTTGTCATTAATAGTTGTAAAAATTAAAATCTTTGATGGTTGTTGCAAGAGTGGGGTGAATAAAAGTTGTAACTATCAGCTTGTGCATAAGATATTTGGTAGGTGCTGATTTACTGTTACTCAAGGTATCTCTATACTAACTTGGCAGTATTTTCTCTGAAATTTCATGGTGATTTACTATCCAATGAAGAACTTTAATTGCACTAAACAAAAAGCAATCTTACTGTGTATTTTCTTGTGGCTCGATGACCCCGGCAGAAAGACATAATCTTTTTATAATACATTTAGTTTACCATTATGTTGACCAGATTTGATAGTCTACACTAGCAGTTCCTGTTGTCTGGGTTAACTTGTGTGGGTGAGAGAGAGAGAGAGAGAGAGAGAGAGAGAGAGAGAGAGAGAGAGAGAGAGAGAGAGAGAGAGAGAGAGAGAGAGAGAGAGATTTGGAATTTTAACGTACTTTTAACAATTTTAAGGTACCTTTAACAATTTTTCAGTCATATCGCTACGATGTCTGTGGCGTGGCAGTTGATAGTGATGTCTAGCATTCGGGCATCATGCCGCAGACATGTAGCATGATGTCCCGATCAGTCACATTATCCTGACACCAGGCCGACCAGTCCTAACACAAACCTCTTAATGCTGAGCGTCTAGCGACGCAGCTGTTAGTACAAATTTTATGTCTTTGGTATGACGCGGCCGGGGATCGAACCCACTACCTCCCGCATCAGAGGCGGACGCTCTATCTACTAGGCCATTGGAACGGTCCCATCTCTGTGTACAGAATTCTATTAGTATAGACATAGCGAATGATGATGTGTCATTATCATTGTTTTGGGTGATTTTTCAACCTTTTAATTTGTATTTGTAAGGAAAAAAAACAGAAGATGTCGAGGCTGCTTTGATGTTGCATAAAACCTAATTTTTAATTGTCATTGATTAAATTGCTACTCAAATGAATACCCAAATATTGACTAGAAGATTAAAACGGCTACTCTAGAATTCATCATCTCTTAACCGCTGTGCTTGAACGATGAAACTCTGTATGTGGTTATGCATTGGATGTCTGCTGAAAGCAAAACATGGCATAATTTAAATTCGAACAAAATAGGATGTGCCAGAAATTTAATGGTAAAGGAACTACGTATATAATGACTATGCCAGTGATGTTCTCATACCGCTCCACAAAAGACGTTTTCGCACTCTCCAACTGTGATCTTCTCATACCCCTCCACCAAAGATTTTCTCATACCACTCCACTAGTGACGTTCTTACACCCATCCACCAATGATATTCTCACACCCTCCACCAGTGCATTGTTGACTTATACGAACAATAACTGCACTAGTCGTGTTCTTGTGCACCTCCGTGTGTGAATATTTCAAAATTCAATTATTGGTCGAAAAATCACTTTGCTATCAGTCGTCCATCCTGTACTTCTTATGTCAGAATAATGTATGGGTAGTCCTTGGTTATGTAGTAATATCGATGTCTGCTGGGGGGGGTGGATTGCGCAGTCAGTAAATAGCACAAATAATTAAATTTGTTATTTTTTGGCAAGTCTGAAGTCGTTCGCAAGCGCATGTTGACACATTCCCTATCATTAGATTATTAGTGTTTATGTACATAATGAATTATTGTATTTTCTAATTGAACTCTTCGTCTTTTTTTTAATCGTTATTCGCTGTGACCTTTACAAAAATTCTTCGATTCTTTTTTACAAGTTCCTTAACGAGTAGGTGCGAATAGTATCCGAATAGTTCGTGTCTAAAAAATAGGACGATATTGGATATTTGAAATTTAAGTTGCAATCATTATGAGCAAAACTATGGTATTCACCGGTTAAACTACAGTCGGTATGACTAAGACCACGATATTCATTGGTTACATTGTCATCGATATGAGCAAGGTTATGATATGCTTTGTTTAAATTGCAATCGGTATGACTAAGATGATATTCACTGGTTAAATTGCAATCGGTATGACTAAGATGATATTCACTGGTTACATTGCAATCGGTATGACAAAGATGATATTCACTGGTTAAATTACAATCGGTATGACTAAGATGATGATATTCACTGGTTAAATTGCAATCGGTATGACTAAGATGATATTCATTGGTTAAATTGCAATCGGTATGACTAAGATGATGATTTTCTCTAGTTACATTGCAATCGGTATGAAAAAGACCACAATATTAATTTGTTAAATTGCAATCGGTATGACTAAGATGATATTCACTGGTTACATTGCAATCGGTATGACTAAGATGATATTCACTGGTTAAATTGCAATCGGTATGACTAAGATGATATTCACTGGTTAAATTGCAATCGGTATGACTAAGATGATATTCTCTAGTTAAATTGCAATCGGTATGACTAAGATGATATTCACTGGTTAAATTGCAATCGGTATGACTAAGATGATATTCACTGGTTAAATTGCAATCGGTATGACTAAGATGATATTCTCTAGTTAAATTGCAATCGGTATGACAGATGATATTCACTGGTTAAATTGCAATCGGTATGACTAAGATGATATTCACTGGTTACATTGCAATCGGTATGACTAAGATGATAGTCATTGGTTAAATTGCCATCGGTATGACTAAGATGATGATATTCACTGGTTACATTGCAATCGGTATGACTAAGATGATATTCACTAGTTACATTGCAATCGGTATGACTAAGATGATAGTCATTGGTTAAATTGCAATCGGTATGACTAAGATGATATTCACTGGTTACATTGCAATCGGTATGACTAAGATGATATTCACTAGTTACATTGCAATCGGTATGACTAAGATGATAGTCATTGGTTAAATTGCAATCGGTATGACTAAGATTATATTCACTGGTTAAATTGCAATCGGTATGACTAAGATGATATTCATTGGTTAAATTGCAATCGGTATGACTAAGATGATAGTCTCTGGTTAAATTGCAATCGGTATGACTAAGATGATGATATTCTCTGGTTAAATTGCAATCGGTATGACTAAGATGATATTCACTGGTTACATTGCAATCGGTATGACTAAGATGATATTCACTGGTTAAATTGCAATTGGTATGACTAAGATGATGATATTCACTGGTTACATTGCAATCGGTATGACTAAGATGATATTCTCTGGTTAAATTGCAATCGGTATGACTAAGATGATATTCGTTGATTAAATTGCAATCGGTATGACTAAGATGATATTCACTGGTTACATTGCAATCGGTATGATTAAGATGATATTCATTGGTTAAATTGCAATCGGTATGACTAAGATGATATTCACTGGTTACATTGCAATCGGTATGACTAAGATGATATTCATTGGTTAAATTGCAATCGGTATGACTAAGATGATATTCACTGGTTAAATTGCAATCGGTATGACTAAGATGATATTCATTGGTTAAATTGCAATCGGTATGACTAAGATGATAGTCTCTGGTTAAATTGCAATCGGTATGACTAAGATGATGATATTCTCTGGTTAAATTGCAATCGGTATGAAAAAGACCACAATATTAATTTGTTAAATTGCAATTGGTATGACTAAGATGATATTCTCTGGTTGCATTGCAATCGGTATGACTAAGATGATATTCATTGGTTAAATTGCAATCGGTATGACTAAGATGATAGTCTCTGGTTAAATTGCAATCGGTATGACTAAGATGATGATATTCTCTGGTTAAATTGCAATCGGTATGAAAAAGACCACAATATTAATTTGTTAAATTGCAATTGGTATGACTATGACCACGATATTTATTGGTTATGTTGCCGTCGGTGTGAGCAGGACCACTATATTCACGTTAAATGAAAATGTGTCTATCTTTGCCTTTGAATATTCTAGTGACGAATGTGACAAATGTTACCTAATTCAAACTGCTTTTTATCTTCTTCGATGAATATCGGAAGTTTTGATGTTCTAAATTCTCCATACACAAGCTTAGACTGCACCGTATATGTCAAAGCATTTGTTAATGCAGTTATTTCCTATATAATAAAATGGGCTGCAATTTGTTGATCTACTTTTGATTGTCAAATAGATCATTTAAAGCATTTTTAATTACTAAACTAAATAATTATGTAAAAGTTGTATAGCAGCAAAATTTATATTTTGAATAGGCCACTTTGTAAGACCATTTACAAATAGTTGAAAACATTTCTCTTCACATTCTTGATAATATGAGGTAGAACACAATTAAATAACAAAAAAGGGTTTTTTTTACCTCCAGTAACTTTATGTAAATACTGCATGGAGTCTGACTGAAGCCCCCGGTCACTGTATCGAGTCTACTTAAAGGCAGAATCACTGCATCGAGTCTACTTAAAGGCAGAACCACTGTATGGAGTCTACTTGCAGGCAGAATCACTGCAACGAGTCTACTTGAAGGCAGAATCACTGTATCGAGTTTACTTGAAGGCAGAATCACTGCATCGAATCTACTTGAAGGCAGAATCACTGCATCGAGTCTACTTAAAGACAGAATTACTGTATCGAGTCTAATTGAAGGCTGAATCACTGTATCGAGTTTACTTGAAGGCAGAATCACTGTATCGAGTCTAATTGAAGGCTGAATCACTGTATCAAGTTTACTTGAAGGCAGAATCACTGTATCGAGTCTACTTGAAGGCAGAATCCATGCATCGAGTCTACTTGAAAGCAGAATCACTGTATCGAGTCTGCCTGAAGGCAGAATCACTGCATCGAGTCTACTTGAAGGCAGTCACTGTATCGAGTCTACTTGAAGGCAGAATCACTGTATCGAGTTTACTTGAAGGCAGAATCACTGCAACGAGTCTACTTGAAGGCAGAATCACTGTATCGAGTCTACTTAAAGGCAGAATCACTGTATCGAGTCTACTTTATGGCAAAGTCACTGTATTGAGTCTACTTGACGGCAGTTATGACACTGAGTCCCCTTGAGGGCAAAGTCATTGCATCGAGTCTAATTGACGACGTAATTGCATTGAGTCTACGTCAATATAAAGTCGCTGCATCGAATCTAATAGAAGGCAAATTGACGGCATCGAGTCTACTTAAAGTCAAAGTTGCATATGCTGAACCAATTCAAGCTTTTAACAGATATTAAAAATGACAAGACGCTTTGTACCGATGGATTCACGATAGAATTGTTTGGGGTTTTTTTTAAATTCACACCGATGGATTTACAACAGAATTTATTATTTTTATACTGATTGATTGAAGACAATTTTTTTATATTATTTTATGCCGCTAGATTCACTACAAAGAATATTTGTATACCCTTAGACAAAAATGTTATTTTTAAACTGATTTGTTCACGACATATTTTTTTTTTATTTTGATATGTTTCAGTGGCGTAGGAAGTTCTCAAGCAACCCCTGCAGCTATGGAGTGGGGAGGGACTTCTTTCCAACATTATTTTGAGGAAGGGGATCAATAATTAAGTTTTGTTTGGGCAGAATTTCTTTCTCCTTTATTCACTAGTATTGGATTATTTTTTTTGAAAGGCCATTTAATTATGTTGTTGGGGTGGGTGGGTTTAAAACAAAGTTTAACTTCTTTACAAATAAAGTCAAATTTCAACTTATAAAACTTTAAAAATGTTGGCGTCCTATTTCTTTGATAATTTTTTTCATGAAAATCGAAAAGCTTTTCTTAATGGATCTGCATTTTTTTGCATGACCTCGTGTTTTTTTTTCACAGAAAAAAAAATAAACTTAGGTCTGCTTGACCTCTTATTGGCTTTAAGTTTGCATTTGACATAAC